TTAAGGTAGTTTCCAAATAGTCTAGAGACTAATTAATTCTGTTCACCTGAAAATACTTATCTTGTTGCCACATCAAACTTATTAGTCTAACAATGAAATAATATTGAAAACTTAGTGTCTGTAAAAGGGAAGAAGGATATGACAGTCAGAATGTGAAGTTCATTCCGATATGTTGCCCGAAAATACTAAACCATAAACTTTACCATGGTAAAGATCCTATTTTTACTAATGTTAACTGCACAATAACAATGTACACCTAATAGTAATAATATTACTCACAACTGAAGAAATACAGTATGTCTATTTAAAGAGTTAGCATTGGTAACAGTATCACTAGTTTAACAAGCTGTTTAGAATGAATAGGTTAAAACATATGACTTTTTGAAGCATGCCTAGCATTAACTGCTTTCCACTGTCCCCTTGAGAATTCTTTGAAAGAAAGAACCACTTCATGGAGACTTGAAAACATTGCTGCCAAGAACAAATGTTTCCTGCTCTTCAGTTCTTGACATTCTATCATCTTGATCCAGCAATTCAGTTAAGCATTAGCCCAGCTCTGAGCACAAAAACAGTCCTACTGACAGCCTGCTATAAACTGTTAGTGATTGGTCCTTTAGAACTGCAAGAACCCAGAAAATATAGGCTGTGTTAATTTTAAAAGGCTGTTATCAAAAACAGATGGACAGATAGCACTCATCTAGCAAACCTGTTGTCCACCTCAAAAAGCCACTGAGAATCTTAATGATGTTGCCCTGAAAAGTCAAAACCTGAAAATACTCCTTTAAGCAATAAGCAAGTTTTAACTGTGACTTTTTCATTATAAACTGCAAATGCTGCATCATGTCTATTAATTCAACTGGAATGCATCTAGCTTCTAAAAAGGAATGCATGATTCAGTCTGTGTAACAAATATAACTGACCTGATTTTCACCACCCTTCTGCTATTTTCCACCTTGTGTAGCTATTTACCACCTGTCTGAGACACTGCCTTTGCACAGTTAAATCCAGAAGGTGAGTGACCATTACACAAGTCAAGACCTTGTACAAAAGACACCTGGTGTGATAAAAGAAATCTTTAAAAACTGTTATCTGATGGCAATAACTCTGCATTTTCCTATCTGTTGTATGTGTAGCAATTTTTTTTTAAAATTATGATGCTCCATAATCAGGAGTTGTATATACTAACAAACAGTTTTGTGCATTCTAGCTTGAGAGGTGGTTGCTCTACAAAGATAAGATAAAATCTCCAGACCTAGCATTCCGGGAAGCAGAAGAACTGCATGACTTCCTTCTCCTGTCTGCTGATAATGCAGGTGGACTCCATTCACTTGGATTTTGGCAGATGTTATTGAAGTACTAGGGGTGGGGGAAGGGGAGAGAAATAGAAAAACATTCAGACAGTTGATTTTCATTACTACATGGTCACGTCAGAAATACAGAATAATTTTCCTAGATATTAATGACAACACTTGCCTTTCATGGCTGCACAGAAGGTTAAATAAAAAGCTTTACAGGAGCAGAGAAGTATTCAGTTGTGACCACTATGTAGTATTCATACTTAGGTTTCACAAATGTACTTAAATGAGTAAGTTAAAGCATAGTCTTGATGGTGTAACAAGGAGAATAAAAAAGTAGCTTTACATGGCTACGGGAACATATTGAAATAAATACATTACAGAGGAGAAACCTCATTCTGTCACAGCATATCTTTCGAAATGGCTGGTGTTCACCTTGTTATTACTAAACTGAGCCTCTCTGTCTGCCAAAGAAACCACAATCTATTGTTACGGTTTCCCATGAACCACAGGGTCTACAATGGAAACCACTTTGCACTGAGATGAGAGCAGAGAAAAAGAATGTGATAATAATATTTCTGTCAGTGTAATCTCAGCAGGAGATAATGTTTAACTGGAAAATACCACATAAATCCACACACTAAAAAATTATCACAGAAAACGACTGCATAGGGCACCTCTCAGCCCCAACCCTTAAACCCCTACATTAACCTTCAGTACAGAGGAAGACATATATGTAAATGCAAATAGGTGACCTGAGATACCATATCTAGATACAAACACCAAGTGAGAAAGCAGAAGTAGCATAGATTGAAAGTATCTTCCTTACAGTATAAATCATTGCATCTGTTCTCCCAAGCAAACTCGTGCCCTAATGGTTGCAAGAAATCTTTTCAACAACCTAACACGTTTTATTTAAAGGTAGTAATATGATAAAAATCTTGCCATGAGTTACCTAACGATTAGCCTTCATTCCCTGTACTTCTCAAATTACTTAGATTAAATATTCTTGCCTTATGAATTCATCAGTGTGAATTTCACATGCATACAGACATGCTGTTTTCCATTCTTAAATGTAACAATAATCTCTATTCCATGATAGGCACTGTGCAATTTATTAAAAATTCAATTTTAACATATAAAGTCTGAACTACTTAGAGTATGTAAGCATAGTTCCATCCATATAGGGTTTAAAATGGTGGATTACAGGTAAAAAATCCCACTAATTTAACCCCTTTTCATAAGGAAAATTAACAATAGCTTGCAAATTCAGGTTCACAATACACAGGTGGTAGTTAAACCACAGAACCAGTTCAACACAAAGATATTTGGATTTTACATAAAATCTTAGGTCTACAAAACCTATCATGCCTCATGCCTGAATATAAGCAGTGACTGTGCAGAATAGAATCAGGACCTTCCACCTGTGCAGACCCAATTTGAGAACTGGAGTACAAATGCAGATCTGTGGCAAGGGTACAGCTCAAAGAAATTCATTGTGTCATTATAACTTCAGTGAGCTTTGCTGAACTGTTATGCTAATGTGATCCAAGTGATTAGTTTGACTGTAATGTTAAACTTCCTTTAAGTGTATATTTCATACCCGATGTGGCTTATATACTTCCCAACTTGAATTCTGAATGTAGTATTCAGATGGCTACCTTATTCTCCTTTTTTTATTAACTTTCACTTTTTTCTCCTTATAAAAGAATGTTTTAATTCTTGATATACCATCTTTTGGTTTGTCATTATTTTCAACAGGTATTTTATCATAGTTTTCATCACAGCAAATGAGCATCTTGCTCTTATTAAACTTTATAGAAATATGTGATTTTTTGTTCGGATTTATAGTTTCCAAACCTCTTTCAGTTCCTAACAAAACAGTAATAATCACCATCTTGTTACCTTTTAAAAAAAAGGTTAGCAACATGTAGTATCAACAGACAGTTATATGTTCTGGTTTCCTGATTCACACGCTTACTTTTTTTTTTTACAAAGTTCTACATTTTTTATGATTAATTATTAACATCAGGGGCTTGAGAATTTTGCTGAGTTTGTGATGCTTTTCTATTCTTGGATTGATTGTGCCTCAGTGTGAAGTCCAATGAAATCCAGGAGTTTCACATAGAGAGTATTTTCAATACTTTTCAGACTAAGAACAAATAAGTTGTTTTTTTAAATGTATTGAGAAACTGTGTTGGAACTGGCTACACCTAAGGCAGATTTAGTCTCCTCAACACCGAGTTTCTGTGAGCCTGATATCACTTCGGTGTGCTTGTCAGTGTGGTGACTTCACTTCTGTTAAGTTTTCATAAGGACTGTATTTTTCCATTGGTTGGCATAACTGGAAACCATGGTAAAACAAACCCCACCCCGCTATTTGGTATCTGAATTAGTAATGTTAAGGTTTATAGCTCTTGAGAAGCATTGGATACATACTGCCTATGTTTACCAAGACAGCACAGATGCCCAGTAGGCAGATCTTGTACTTCACCTCATACTGCTGTAGGAGTGTAGCTTAATTTGGGAACTACCTCTGTTGCAGCTGTGCTACAATACAGCCTAGTCTTTATCTGTGCAGGGGGAAAACATAATCGTAGCATGTCAGTTTTCCTTGGTAGGATTTGCAGAAAAACCAGTATTTTATATATTAGACATATGTATTGTCTTTGCAACCTCGGCGCCCTGCAGGGAGCCTCTTGTGAGCAGCAGGTGGGCAGAGGAGCAGTGGGTCAGCAGCACGTCCTGCCTTGCGGGGACCGGCAGAAGGGAGGGTGACAGGCACTGCCTGAGGAGAAGGGGCTGCGGAGCCTTCCTTGTACAGCTCCTTGCAGCACAGGGGAAGCTGGAGCAGGATCCTCAGGAT